CTGCCCTTTGATTTCTTTCCTAATGCAAGACAAGCGTGCACCCCCACAGCAGCAAAGCCATCGCTGAAGCACAGTTACAACAGGAGGTGGCAGATAAATCCTAACATTAAAAAAACCACCCCTCTCCAAAGTAGCCATCACCAAGATTTCTCAGAGCTGTACAAAAAATATATAAGTGGATCTGCCGGCTATAAAATGCCTCACATTTAGTGTGCTTGATATTAATTTACACAACAATGTATATTATGCATAAGGAGTACCTGCCTCAAAAATTTTCCAGGCTTAATTCCAAGAGAGAAACAGCTAGGAAACAGTCCTCAGTGGCACAGCAATGCCACACAGAAATGAATTGCTTTAGTTAAGGTACATCTGCTTTTCTTTAGATGTCATAAGGTTGCATTAACCTCAGAGTCTATTTCTCAGAAACTGCAGCTGGCCATTCCCAAGGTTGATTTCAGAGTCCACCAGGAACCCAGACAGGGAGCTCCTAAGGACATGCTACATCCTCTGACCCCTTCTTGGAAAAAGTATTTTAGTACATAAGTAGAGAGAAAAACTGGCCCACCTTGGTTACACCTTGCCCTTCAGAGCACAGGAAATTATACTCCAAACCTTGCCTGTTTCTTCTCCTGCTTGCCTAAAGTGATACAGGACACTAAATCCCACTGCCCATGAGGTCCTGAAGCCAAAGCATGAGATAATGGCAACTGCAACATTTAACAGGCCGAGACTCCCTATGACTTTAAACAGGAAGCTGATACCACTTAACTCTTTAGAGAAATCAGATAATTTATTTCTGTAAGTAATTAGGAAAACACATTGTCTTTTCAGAGCACAGCCCTGCATGGAAATGACCAAAGAGTCTCTCATCAGGCACAGTTAAAGCCAGGATCCAGAGGTGACACACAGGCCTCCACCCCCAGCAGTGACTGACACTGTGCTGCTCCCATTATGGCATTTCTCCAGCACACAAGCAGCATGGGAAGAGGAAACCACAGCACAACTTGGTGTTCAGATCTGGCCAGCAGTTGCAGTGAGAATGCAGCTGTCCAATGGAGAACCCATTTTAGCCTCAAATTTAGCCTCATATTCAAACCAGCCTGTTCTTCCAGTTCGGGGATTTTCTTTTATACGCTAGGCAGGAAAACAGCTCAAACAATTTCCTCTCTGCTTTATGATGTCAGTCACTAATATGTCAATATACCAGTCTGCTGGAACCAAGCTGTTAATTATTCCCAATCTTCTTCAGGAACCCGGAAAAGTGTCTGCAAACCCAGCCCACAATGTAAATGTTTCTTCATATCACAAAGGGAAGTAAAATCAACAACAATAAGCCAGTCCTGACTGATCTTTGGACTACATCATCTTAACATTCAGAACAGACTGCCAAACATATTTCAGCCACTCAGAGAGATACTGTATCCCTCCAAACAGTTTAACATAAACTAGAGATGTGCCAAACCTGGCCATACAATTCTCTCTTTCCATTGCACCAGCAGAACCACTCATGCAGTCACTTAGTAAGAAAAAGGGAGCTCTGAGGACGATACACCCTTGCTAGACCCTGCGCTTTCAGGCCTGTAGAGGAGGTGAAGTGATATAAAATTACCAACTACGTACCTCCAGGTGGTTTCTGATGAACTTTCACAAAATCTGCACCACATAAATGATTGAGTTTCTCCTTGGTTCCATCATTATATATGTGAATTAGCACCTCTCGTGGAAAGTAGGGCTTCATTTCGGATAGTTTCAGGGCTCCTATTCCATTGGCACAGTCAATCTTCAGGTGCCTCTGACACTCTCCAGAGCTGTGAGACTTAGCACAAGGGAAGAAGGGGCAAAGTGAACCATTGCCCTAGTGAAACCACAACTAGAGGCAAGCTGAATTCGAAAATTCAGGCCCAAGCAAGCTAACAATCAGAAGATAATAATTTTGTACACTTGCATGAAGAAGATAACACGCACTATTCACCTGTTTTATCAGTTCCATAAAAGCTTTGGATAGTTTTTCGTAATAGCCTTCCAGTGTTGCTTTCCCATACTGCCCTTGGGTATTTTGACAGCAGACCATGTAATGTAGCTGTGGTGTTGTCACCAGACCATAATCTAGCATGAAATAAAAGGAATGAGATTCAGAAATAGAATTGCAAATTAACTGTTGATTCAAAGTTGTCCAGTATACAGACAAATGCAGTGCAGGAAATACATGAAATTTTTGAAGTTCTCTTGCAAAAAGATGACACCCCCCCACCCCACCACTCCTTGCATTAAAGCCATACAAATACCCTGAAAGGACACTGTTACAAGCAAGAATGGAAATGTGTCTGGGCTACTGCTTTAGGCATACATAAAAAACTTGAATCAAACTAGAATTGCAGAAGTTTAACATACCGTGGTACTGACCACCCAGAACAAGGATCCCATCTATTACTGACTGGGAGAGTTTCTCACTGCTTGGCCTGGAAAAGAACAAACAAAACTGATAACCTTTGCAAAGACATTTATGTATGGACTTGGGAAAGAAACACATGTGGAAGACTCTATAAGCTTCCTGTCAGTAGGTTTAGACTCAGAGTGAAGAAGAAATCCATACCTTTTTCTATTGTAGGTAATTCTCAATAAAGAAATTTGAAAGCCAACACCCCAGGGAATTGCAAAGGCAAGTAAACTGCTGAACACAGGTGGACATCCCACAGTGTCCCCAACAAAAATCCCCAACACCACAGTAAAGCATCGCATCCAGAAACAGTGATAAGAAGTTCTTGTAGCTATCATGGAAGCTAACGTAGGAACAGCATTGGAAAACTTTTGCTTATTGCTATAATCATAAATTTAGGCATAGAAAAAGCATAATCTGGCTGCGGGGGCCAAAACACCCCAAAAGCACCCATGAACACAGCACTGGCACTTCCATAAAAGTAGTATACATCTACAGCATTTTGTAATTACCTGGTGTCTCTACCAATAAAAACCAAAGCATCTTTGTGCAGGTCCACTGCTGCTTTTTGGCAGATCTCAGTGATCACTTTCTGTAATTCTTGCTCCTCTGCATTTGCTAGTTGTGTGGCATACTCTTCCCAGGAAGGGTGCAGCATTTCTCCAAGAGGATCAACCAGCTTTATGCCATTGTCTTCCTTAGCAGAAAAAAAAGAACAAAAGTTACTAAGTCTACAAGTGGGGAACTTAGTAAAATCTCTTTGAAGACAGCAAACACATGGTTCAATCACATTGCTTCTTTAAAGGTGGAGAACTGCTGGGATGCAAAACCTTAGATGTTTATTTAAAACTCCAACAAGCCCTCCAAAAGAACCATAACAGCATATTAAGTAACCAACTTTTTACCCCTTGTAATTTTGGTATGAAACTCATTTGACATTACAATGACGTCAGGGGAGATTCAGATAACCTGCAATGCTCCACAGCAGCAATAAGTCTAAGTGCCTGATTTGTAATTGCTGTATTTGGGTGTTTCTTTTTAAAACTTACAAATTTTGCTCAGAAGTTCCTTTCTTCTCAAGGGTGCTCCTAGCTTGATAACATCAGAAAGTTACTTTGCAACATAAAACGTTTTCTATGTTACACCATTTCCACATGAGAAAAAATGATGCTTGGGTCAGAGGGAAAAGTAACTTCAAATATGCCAGAGATCCTATTTACAGGGAGCAGGCTAAATGTGTGCTTTAAGCAGGTCCAAGTGTCTTCAGGACCTGGTCTCTCAGTGCCATGATGAGCTTTGATTCCACCAAACTGATCACATCTTTCCATCATTCTACCAAAACATTTCACGTCACTCCACCAAACTGGTCCCATGTTTAACGAAAAGGCTGATCTTACCTCAGGGTTATGAGATGCTGTAACCATGACGCCAATAGTTGCTGCCACAGCTTTGGACCTGAGGACTGCGAGCAGGCCCATGCGGAACACGACGTGATCCAGCTGCTCGGCCCTGGTGCGAAATCCAGCGGTGCCGTACTGCAGAGCCAGGCCGGCAGGCTTGGGATGTAAGGCTGAGTACTTCCTAAGGGCTTCAGGATCCATTTCTGGAGCAGGAAGTAACACAGATACAAGTGAGAGAACTCAAGCTGTTGTAATCAGTTTCGCGTTTTACACTTCACCTCTGAAGCCCAGAGGACACTTTAAATAAACCACTCCCTTGGTGGAGTGCAGCCAGGCGCCACCAGAGTGAAGGAGCCCCTACATTCCCTGTGCAGCACTGGATAGATAAACAGCGCTCGACCAGATTTAAACATATCACACACGGGGAGGAGGCGGAGAGCCTCGATTCCCGCTCGGCTGGATCCAGGGCTCCCGACAACTTCCCGCCCTCTTCTCACCGCGACATCAGCGCCCACCGCGCTCGGTCGCGACCCCTCAGACCAACTCTCGACGCCCAGAGCAGCCTGCCCTCCCTCTCCAAGCCCTCGCAGGCAATCCCCCAGCAGTGTCCCCGGGACGTTTCCCTCGGGTGTCGGCTCTGCCGAGGCGCTCCGTGCGGACCACCCCGGCCACGGAGCACAGAGGCGCACAGAGCCGCCGAGCCGGGCCGGGCTGGGTGGGGCCGGCCGGACACACGCCACCACGGGCACCTCAGCAGCCGCCTCCCTGCACGGCTGATCCCCTCAGGACCCCCCGGCGCCGACGCCCGGACCCACCTGCCGGGAGGGACGGGACGGGACGGGATGGGACGGGATGGGACAGGACGAGCTCCCTCCGGCCCCGCTGCCGCCGCGCGCCCCGCACGGAGCCGGCGCGGCCACGCCCACACGCGGCTCAACGACCAATGGCCACGCGATGGGCGGGGCTTATCCCGCCACGTGGCGCCAGGGCCACGCCCACTCCCTGCGAGCCGCGCCCATCCCGCCCCGCTCCCGCCCCGCTCCTGCGGGACCGGCTGTGTCCGGCCGGCGGGCCCCCGGGGACAGCCAGTCTTGCACAGCTTCACTGGCGTCACGCTCGGACTCCAAACTGCCGCCCCGGTGTGCTGGTTTGGGCTGGGGCGGAGTTGTTTTTCTTCGCAGTGGCTGGTACGGGGCTGTGTTTTGGGTTTGTTCTGAACACAGGGTTGATAATGTGGAGACGTTTTTGTTATTGCTGAGCAGGGCTTACACAGAGCCAAGGCCTTTGCTGCTTTCCGTACTGCCACGCTGGCGAGGCAGCTGTGGGTACGTGGGAGGTTGGGAGGAGACACAGCCAGGACGGGTGATCCCAACTGACCAAAGGGATATTCCAGACCGTGTGCCATCAAGCTCAGTCTATAAAGTGTGGGGAAGAAGGAGGAACAGGGGGCACACGTTCGGAGTGATGCCGTTTGTCTTCCCAAGCCACCGTTGCACGTTACATTTCCCTGCTCCCTACATCTCCCGGGGACGGCTGAACGCCCGCCTGCCCAGTGAATTAATCCTTGTTTTGCACGGCTTGTGTGCACGGCTTTAATTTTTCATATTAAACTGCCTTTATCTCAAACCCACGGGTCTTCTGGCGCTTACCCTTCCGACTCTCCCCCGATCCCGCGGGTGGGGGGAACCCGGGGCTCGGCTGCCGGCTGGGGTCGAACCACGGCAGGTGTCCAGCCTGTGCCCCTCCCCATCCCTGAGCCCGGCACGGCTCCGCCTGGCTCTGTGGAGCACCGGGGTGCCAGCCCTGCCCGCCGTGTGTGGAGCACTCCTGGGCTGTGCGCCCAGCCGCGTTTAATCAAGTGCTGCCCTTACACAATCGTGGGGCTTCCTTGTTGGGTTGTGACGTGGGGCTCAAACCTCACCGTGTGCTAAACACCGCGACTTGACTCCAGGCCTCTCGTTCCAGGCGGGCGTGGAGGACAGCGCGATGGCTGTCACGGTAAAAGAATGCCTGGAACTCCAGCTGCTGGAAGTGGAAATGCTCCTTTCGATGTTTCCCAAAAGGGGTGAAATCAACCTGGATAAAGATGCTGTGCCCAGCGTCCAGCGCTACCTTAAAAACGCTAATGGAGCTCTCCCCCGCAGCTCGAATATTGCATCGCCCTTGATGTGGGGGAGGCGAAGGTAAGAACTGCCAAGTAGACGTGTTCATGTGTGTTGTTTTCTTTACTCCTACACACACTTGAAAACTCTACTCTGAAAAAAGAGGCGAGAAAAACCCCATCTCATCTTTGTTTGCTTTTTCAAGAGCCAAGAGTAACAGAAAAGTCTTGGCTGTGATTTATTTGAGTATTAACTTTCTCTGGTCAATAAAGGCTAATAGAATGGCACATAGAAATAGACACCAATATCAGTGGCACACACAGCATTCACAAGAGGCTGTGCAACCAGAGTTTACTGGTTTATGAATTGTTGTGCATTTCAGTGTTCCCTGCACGGGAATACATATGTTGGACTTTACATTATTCTAGCAAAATCACTATTATTTCTCTCTTCCACCTCTTTTACATGTACTAACATTAACTGATCTGCATTTGAAATACAGTAATGTAAAAACAGCCCCACATAGCAGAATAAAATTAAGAGGAGTCACACAAATATTAAAACAAACCCAGCCTATGAGTAGGGAAACCAAACTTACAGTATAAGGAGTGACAATAGTTTATCTGATTGAAGAAAGATCAACAATATGACAAGTAAGTGATGTAAATACTTGCACAGAGAATATAGGTCTGAGTGTATAATAGTGCAATGACTAGAAATTGAGAACAAACTCAGCCTAGAAACCATTTTCCTCAGAACAAGGATAATTAAACATTAGAAGAATTTACTGGGTAATGAGCTGGCCTCGTGATTATTTGGAAACCTAGAAAAAACCTCACTACTCCAGCACAAGCCAGGCCTACACGGTTCATAAAACTTCTCTCTGAAGGCTGGTGAAAGGGTGCATTTTAGAAAGATACCTAAGCTTGTACCTACGGCAGATTGTCAAGGAACTTGGAAAGATAATTAGTCATTTCACAATTCATTTTTCTCTGCAGGACTAATCATATGATTGTACACTCTAGTGAGAATCCTCTAAAGGTCTACAGGAGCCTCAAGCACTGAGGACACATAAATCCTCTCCTCCTCTTGGACCAGAGACAGGGTTCAGTTTCCAAAGAACTGTGGTGCTCTGTTTGAAGGCACTGTAGGAGTAATCAAGAGAAATTCAACAGCCCAGGGTTTATAGGAGATCAGACAAGATAATCTAGACATTTCCCCAACCTAAAATGCACATAAATCTTTTTATCCCCTATAATCCTGAGAATACTTCCCCTTTATTGTGAATACTTGCTTAAAATAATAATAATAATAATGCATAAAATCATAGGATGGTTTAGATTGGGAGCAACCTTAAAGATCATCTAGTTCCACACCCCCCTGCCATGTGTCTCTGTATACAGTATATACAATCATAAACGCTGTTTCATGTACCTCTTGGCCTTGTTTTCCTTTTGTTTTCCTGGGGTAGATCCAGCAACTGGCCCGAGTTCATTGATCAAATGTGTTTTTGGCAAGGGATAAGATTCTCAAAACCCCCCGATTCTAACACAATTCATCGCTGTAGCAACACTGAGCACATACTGAGAACACACAAGAAATATCCATAGAGGGTAGTAACTGTGCACCTTATCCCATGCCATAACATTAGTTTCTGTGAACAGCAGAAGAGCAGCCTGGATAACATGAGAAATTTTGAGAACAAAAGAAAAGGAGCAGACAAAATAATGGGTTATTGGGACAAAAGGAAAGTGAAAGTAATTGCAGTCATTGGGATGCTGCAATCTTAATTACATCTCCTCATAATCTGCCCTTGACAGGGAAGAAGAATCTAGCATGCCTTCAGCAGCTGCAGAATTAATTTTCTCTGTGTGTGTGTTCTGTTTTCAAGGTAAAGGTGGAACTGCAGGTACACCTTCCTCATATGTATCCTCAGGTAGCTCCTCAGCTTTTTGCCAGATCAGATGCGCTGCACAGAGAGCAACAGCTGCAGCTCAACACCCGTCTCACTTCTCACATCAGCTCTCTGGATTCAGGTGATCTGTGCATATGTGAAGCTGTGCAGTGGGTGAAGGACAACAGCCTGCCTTACTTGGAAAACAGTAAGATCTCTTCTGAAGGTGCTTCAAAAGAAGTCAGAGTTAAAGAATCGTTGCATCGCATGTGGATCTACAGCCACCATATTTACAGGCAGGAACTGAGAAAAAAGATTTTTGACTCTGCAAAGAACTTAAATCTGACTGGCTTCTGCCTAACTGGGAAACCTGGTGTCATCTGTGTGGAGGGGCTCCAAGAAAACTGTGAGGAGTTCTGGCGTGTTATTAGATATCCCAACTGGAAGCATATTTCATGCAAGCATGTGGACAATATAGAAACAGAGGGAAACATCGATGATCTTCGTCTCTTTCATGGTTTTGAAGACCTGCAGTTTCAGGCACATGGTGGTTATGGCCTGAGGAATGACTATCACATGGATCTTGGCCAGTTCCTAGAATTCCTGAAACAGCATCAAAGTGGACACATTTTTCAGATTTTATTTGGTGTTGAAGGCAAAATTTCAGACAAATAAGAGAAACTGTGTAAGGAGTTCTAATTTTGGACAGCAACCACTGAAATACTGTGCCTTACAGCTACTGTGAAAAGGGAAACTTTAAATACTTGAACCTTTCTTCTGGGATAATAATGTTAGCTTCTGTTCTGAATTGCCACATATTTTTGAGAAGTGTTCGCTAATTTTCTAAAAAGACCCTAGAACTGGCATTTGTGACTATGAGCCATGACTCAAAGTGCCTGCAAGGTGCTAAAAACCCCACACTATAGTATCCTGAATTACACACTCCTGTCTCCTCATCTGTACTGTGTTGTGTGTAGTTAACTTCTACATACAGCTGTGGGATACCAAAGTGGCTGCAGTCACGGATGAACGTGGCTTCCAATGCAAGAGCACACCCAGCTCAAGGAAGACTCACTGCTACGTTAATGAGTTTGTGCGTCCAGTGTCCCACTACTTCGCAAAGCATCCACTTCTCACTTCATTCAAATAATCCATTAAATGCAAAGGCTTGTGTCCAACCACAAGATGAAGTTTTGCTTTTCAATAAAGGGCATGGGGGAGGAGAAAGAAGCTCACATCACCCCATCCCTTGTATGGTTTGGGTAGTACCTGTAAAGTTATGTTGCCAAACCCACTATATTTGCATTTCACTTCCTCTCATAGGATCATAGAGTGCTTTGGGTTGGAAGGGACCTTAAATATCATCTCATTCCAACTCCTCTGCCATGGGCAGGGACACCTTCCACTCGGCTAGACTGCTCAGAGCCCCATCCAACCTGGCCTTGAACACTTCCATGGATGGGGAACCCACAACGTCTTTGGACAACCTGCTCCAGTGCCTTACCACCTCACAGTAAAGGATTTCTTCCCAACATCTAAGCTAAGCCTACTCTCTTACAGTTTGAAATCATCCTCCCTTGTCCTGTCACTACATACTCTTGTAAAGAATCCTTTTTCAGCCTTCTTGTAGGCCCCCTTTAGGTACTGGAAGGCTTCTGTAAGGTCTCCTCGAAGCCACCTCTTCTCCAGGCTGAACAACCCCAATTCTCTCAGCCAGTTTTCACAGGAAAGGTACTCCAGTCTTTTGATCATTTTTGTGGCACTTCTGCCGATTCTTCCCAACAGGTCCATGTCCTTCTTATGTTGAGGGCCCCACAGCTCGGTGAAGTCCTCCATTTGGGGTCTCACGAAAGTGGAGTAGAGGGGGAGAATCACCTCCTTCAGACCTGCTGGTCATGCTGCATTTGATGCAGCCCAGGATGTAGTTGGCTTTCTGAGCTGCAAGTGCACATTGCTGAGTCATGTCAAGCTTCTTGTTGACCAACACCCTCATGTCCTTCTCGCCAGGGCTGCTCTCAATCCATTCTCTACCCAGGCTGTATTTGTGCTTGAGATTGCACTGACCCAGGTGCAGGACCTTGCACTTGGCCATACTTGAACTTCATGAGGTTTGCACAGACCCCCTCTCAAGCCCGTCAGGATCTCTCTGGATGACATCCTTTATTCCCTGTGTTGACTGCACCACACAGCTCAGTGTCATCGTCAAACTTGCTGAGGGGGCACTCAATCCCACTGTCCATGTCACTGACAAAGATGTTAAAACTGCCGGTCCAAATACCAATCCCAGAGGAATGCCACTCATCACTGGTCTCCACTTAGACATCAAACCATTGACTGTAACTCTTAGTGACCATCCAGCCAATTCCTTATCTACCAAGTGGTCCATCCATTAAATCCACACCTCTTCAGTTTAGAGACCAGGATGTCATGCAGGGAAGTGTGTGTCTGGTTATGTTGATAATAATTTTTCATCTGCTTAACTCAGGGCATTTTATGTTTACATTGTTAGGCCAAGCACCTTGAAAAGGAAAATGGGTAAGATGAAGTAAGCGGTGTTTCTGCTGTTTTTCCTCTACATTACACAAGGAAATAGAAGTAAAATACAGAAAATAGGGAAAAAACCCTACATATATTATATAATACATAAAAATACATATAAGTTTAAGAATCCTTTCTATGTCAAATTAGTATTGAGAGACAATTTTCCAGCAGCTTGTAGAGGAAATTATAGTACCGATTCACAGTACAGCGTTTTCCTACAGGGTAGCATGCTGAATGCATATTTAGATAGTGAGTTTTCCAGTTTATAATGGATGATCATATTTAAAGGTCATCAATATAATATGTAGTGGAAGAATGCTACTGAAAAGTCCCCAGCAGCTGTGCCTTAGAGGACCACCAGCCTGCTACTGCCTTCCACTGTGTGCTTGAGTGCCATCATGTGAAAATCGGTACCAAGCAATGACAACAGACTCAGTGCTGAGCTGCAGAGGTCTGGCTGATCAAATCTAAAACCCAGGCCTCTCAACATCAGCTGTTTATAGACCGTGTTTCAGTACACTCAGTTGATGACTACAAAAATAACAGGTTATTATTTTATTTCAAATAAGATGCAAGGAAGTGTTTTAATGCTCTTCTCACAATAGCAATATATTGAAATGCAGAGGATGGCAGTATTTCTGGTTGCTCAGAATGATGACTGCTGTACATTCCTTCAGTGCTGTAAGGGTAATGTTTGTATGATCATAACTTTGGCCAAAAGCACAGTGAGGCAAAAAATTACCCATTGAGGGAGAAAGTGCCTCCCCTCTTTGTAAATTCAGGACCTGAAGTCTGAAGCTGTGGCAAAGCTGAGGGGCTGGCTGGACAAATAAAGTTAGTTTTTGGTTTCTAGAGATAATTTCTATAGTAGAGATTTGAAAGAAATAGATAGCAGAAAAGAAGTTTAAGTACATTTTGTTTCCAGAACTATCCAGAAAATAAATTACATTTTTCCTGGGGTGGCAATTGTTTAACAACTAATAATTCTTTGACAGCTATTCTAGCATTTTGATACTCCTTTTTTGTCAAGAATACAGAGTTCAAGCAATTCCATGAACTTCAGGTCAATCATTTGCAGCGTATCAGAACAGCAGTCATCTTGGTGGGGGAATTAAATCCTTGACTGTTTACAGGACATTAGTTTAGCTAATGTTAAATGTTACTAATGTTAAATGCTATTGTTAGTAATGTTTAAATATTCTAATTAGATTAGGACAAAAGGTTCTGCAGGTTCAATTCTTGTTAGAAAATTTTCATTACTCTACACAGGACTGATCAATATGGGTTTTTTTTTAGAAGAAAGTATTCTAACCTTACAGTTGTTTAAAGTTTGGTGTTTTTAAATAATAGGTTGACAAATTACTGTGATCTGTAGTGGATTGAACAGTCATCATATGCATTTTTTATTTGTCAAAAAATACCATTTGTCTGCTTAAGTTCCCATGGACGTTTGTGACACAACTCTCAATTCAGCATACAACCATTTCTTTCAAAAAGATCTGTCAGACTGTAGTGGAGGATATATCAAATAAAATAACAATAAAAACAACCAAACAATGCAAATCTATTTCTCAGATTTTTATTTTCTGATGTGTGATTCACGATTTCTTGATTTGAGTTGCTAATGAAATACTATGATTTAGAAAAAGTTTTCTGGATCTTAAAAAATTAGCTATTCTTAGGCGGCTTCCTAGGCAGAGATGATCTTAATATTTTAATGCTTTTCAACTGCTGCTGGTTTCTTCATTCTTCATTAATTATTTACAGTTTCACTTTCATGGCTTCTTCAGGCCAGGTATAGGAGTCAGCCACAAAGCTGTTGTAATCAGTGCTGTAAATCTGAGAGCGGATGAAGGCTTCCAGGTCCTTGGGCTGAGGATAGGTGGATGCATTGTTATTCCTGTAGGCTTCTTCCGCAATCTAGAAAGATGCACAATCCTAATTAGTGCTGATAGAATATTTGAGTAAATTTAGCAGGATTTGAAAGTAGGAATTAGTTCAAAATCAACATGAGTTGTCTTCTCTGGTGTTGGACAGTCACCTGTACTCACACTGGATCCGGGCTAGTATGCAGTGAATAAGACTAGGAACAGGATGATGTTTGTATTTAAGTGGGTCTGACTCACTCCTGCTTTTGAACAGGATTTCAAAAAGTCTTTGCTGTTACAAATACAGTGCTCCTCCTTGCCCAGTAATATCTTAGCTTTTAATGTGCAGTGGTGGATAAAATATCGCACAAGCCCCAAGCACTGAGGTACAATTTCTGCTTTTCTATCATCACACTACCCTGGTTAGCCATCTTCTCCAAAGCACTGTAAGAAAAGTGTGATGTGTTCAAAGTTTCCACACTCCCTGCATATTAGAGAAGTTTATTATTTGCCATCATTTGATAATATACTTCAGAAAAGGTAAGCTCATAAGAAAAAATTAGTCCTACATAGTGCACAGGTTTAATTCTAGGGATGGCTGGGGGAAATGCAACTATTTGCTTGCTCTTTCCTCACCCAGACCATACCTAAGTGAATGAATTACGCATCACAAGTATAACTGCAGTAAGAATTAAGTTTAGAAGGGGTTGAAGCTCACTCAACATATCAAAGTAGCCTTTCTTGTCTAAAGAACACCTACTTGAGAAACATATATCTTTAGACTGGACATTCATCTACAAAACAGAAGAATTCAGTCACACTGGTTTTATGCAGCAGCACATTTTGGAAAGATCTGCTTGAAACCGTACTTGGGAAACAAACTAATACGCGTCCTTTGAATAAAAGGGAGATGGTCTTCCTCCTGCTCTCCTTAGCTCCCTTTAAAACATAAATGTTTTAGTTTGGTGAGAAGTTGATACCCAAAGTCACTGTATTTAGATATCTTTTCTAGGATTAATCTGAATCTCAACTCGATTTAACTCAGAAGCACTTTGGGTGTTTATCTTTAGGTTTATCCTCAGGTCTGTGCACATAATTACCATGGTTGAATAAGGTCTGAATTTATATCCAACATTCATTATTCCAAAATATTTTTATATTGCTACTCTCCTGAAAGAGGCAGAGGCCATTGCTAAACCTCTTGGGCTGTATGAGCCAGAGCAAATATTTGCAGGAATAAAGTTTCAACAAAGAACAGGCAGAGAGAATCACTCGATAGCATTTTTTTTTATATATATAACATGCACAAGTAGAAGAGGAATTTCTCTCACTGTGTTTCTGCCAAACACAGAGTCAATTTCATTTTGCCTGAGGAATCCAGGTAACATTTTGGCATCTACAGAACAGAGTTTTTACTTACCTAAGATGACATAAACTGTGAGTGGGAATTTTCTTTTTTAAACACACAAAAGTGAATCAATCTAGGGAAACTGTTTCATGCATGAGAGCTGCTTGT